GATGCGAAACGCAACTTCTCTCCGTCACCCAAATGAAATGGGCCCCAAACAGTCTGGCTAAACACCAGTTAAAACACCTGAGCGTGCAACTGTTCGGCTTTGACAAATAGCTCTAGCACTTGCGGCTATTGTGATGTTGCTGACTTTACTTATTGAATATCAGTGGTCACCAAGTCATCGTGTAGCAAGCGTTTGTTAGTCCAAGGACCGTAAAGTTCAGAATCAATCAGTATTTCAATTTACACAGGTTAGTGGAAACAAATAATAAACTTGACTCAATATCGTTATGAACTCTCCATATTACAGAATTTCGTAACAAACAGGCAGCCGTCAATGACAATTTAGAGGAGACAGGTGCAATGCAGATGCAGAAGGTACGCATCTTCATAATAGAACACTGCCTAGGAATAAGAATATGAACAGAAAGTCAGTTCCATACTGAATTTGCGAGCCTTGCTTTAGACTCTTCGAAAATAAGACGAATCCTCTCGCGTTTCTCTGCATCTTGAATCGTTTCGATGGCCTTCTTGACATCTATATTACAACAACTTTAAACAGCTCTACTCCGTAAAGTATAAAACACGTGAAAAACACATTAAACTACGCTTCTTTTAAATTACTAGTGTCACACTTTTACCTAGTGTAGTATTAATTCCCGAGTGATCAAGAGGAAGTCAGACCCATTCAGCAATATCAGCGAGATTCTAACTGGTCGACATGACATAATAACAGTAAGGCATTGTTCTACCCTACTCCTTTTCCCTTGTTTGTTACTGAAACCCTTTCGAAGGCCGGGTCGACTTTTCCAAAGAAAGATTCGTAGAATCATTCTGGATTTGATACATAAACTTGCATCAGAACCAAGTCAGGACTTCAACAAATTTATTCCCTTGGGGAGAGACAATAAACAAGAGTCAGTTTGGCAAAGCTCATCGGTACTGTCACCCTGCATGGTAGAGACGGTCTGAAAGTTCCAGAACCAAAAAGCTTTCAACCATTTTCGACGCCGAATTTTGGTATTTTAGCACTGCGGCGCTACGGAGACGAGATTCCAGCAATGTCCAGTGTGCTTTGCGTTTGCAATTAGTTTTTGTTCTTTTTCACTCAAAGAGCAGATATTCTAGTTACTAAGAATCATGCTCCGTAGACTTTGCCATTTTAGCGTGTTTTCATGAAATCTTTCTCATGCTCTACGTGCCCAGTACTGTCTCCCTAAACGAACAGCGGTAAAATGATCATGTTGCACGGCCTGCTTGGCTGATGTGCGTGCACAACATTGAGAGAATCAGCTATTAATTACCTTAATTACCTCAAAAATAAGTTGGTCATGGTTGATGGAATGATAACAGAGATTAAAACCGCTGTATAATAAACTTAATTAAACAAAAGTGCTAAAACAGAGATCATCCAGGAGGTGCAAAGAAAATCGACGTTGAAACCGTTATAAATGGTTCATCTTTCTATGCCTCCTTTCGCTCAAGTGTAACGTTAAAACTAAATTGATTCTTTCGATCCAATGGGTGTTGACGAATCACTTTATGATATTCGTTTCCATTATTGAAGAACTGAAAGGACTGCAACGTGGCGAAAAGAATGCGGGTCACAGCTCCCCGGAATCGAAACTTTATGCAATTTGCCCAATAATCTACGGAAGTTCGTATTTCATTATATATTGCGTAGTTTTCCTACTATTTTTGTTCCCTCTTAAAAAATTCTACCCATATCACAGGCTTACTTCGTGTTCTGACACAGTTAGGCACTCTGAATCATTTTCAGCACTTGGTATTTTTCATCTGGAGTGTTGGGAGCTGTACGAACTGCGTGGTGCCTGAACGTTGGTAGAGGCAAATATGGAGGACAGCTGAGAGCAGCTGGGAATGCTCAGCCCATTATCGTGGGTAGTTATCTCCTAATTTGTGGTTAACGTTTGGCAGCGTAGATGAATACGAAGTGAGTTTTCTACTAACAGAAAATCATCAGTTAAATCGGAAAATAGCTGACTACTCTTTTCGATAGCCTAATTCGTCTTTTTGATTTTCTTCCAAATCATCTCTCTGTCACGTCAGAAGAACGAGACAACGTTCGTGAAATTAAGGCGTTGTAAATGGTTCTTCTTAGCCTGATTTCTCTTAACTATAAGGGCGAAAGTACTAATCGAAGCCCAGGGTCACCTAGCGTTTCTACTTCTTGCCTTAACTACCGTATTCACTGGAGAAATTACTTATCCTGGAATTTTTATAAGCTCCACTTTCTGAACGGGAGCTACGAAAGACGCAGAGGCAGCAATGACCTTTCTTGGTAAGTCTACCCAATTTTCACATATCTCTTATCAGCACCATAAAGCTGATGGATTTCTTTCCACTTTAAGGTGATACGAGTAACTTTGGCAAAGGTTCAACTACGACACGTAAGAAAAACAACGACAGAGATTTCACAATTCTTTGCTTGCTTAACCTGAAAAGACAATCACAACAATATATATGAGTAATATTGCTTTCCCTCTGCCGTCACCCAATACAGCAGTCGAACGTGATAGATACCATTACCAAAAGAAAGCAAACATAAGCGAGGATCGAAAATCGAAACACTACAACATTAACAGATGAAAACTTACAGTCGAATGCTTGCTGTGCTCTTTCTCGATCATCGGGATTTTTGTCAGGGTGAACCAAAATGGACAACTAACATAAAAACAATGATGTTCCTGTAAAAATAACAGAAGCAAATACTTTTCTGTACTGTCTGTGCGCTTCGTCTTCAGGAGTATCGTTCGGAATGTTCAAAACCTAAAACAAGGAAATCAGAAACGCATTAATTTCGCGCAACAACTTCATATGGATTGAGGTTGAAGTAGGTGCAGCCCGGACGCAACAGTCGATCAATCTGCTGCTTCGACGTCAACACCGAGTCTCTCTTCTCGATCTCTTTCACCTTAAAACATCGCTGATTACTAAACCATCACTGAACAACAATAATGATTGTGATTTTTGCAAGATCAACAGACTAGTATGCCCTCGAAATGCAGTGATTCAAAATGCCTTTAATGCAAAAATAATGCAATGTACTCCATGTAAACAATACGAAAGATATACGGACAATGATGTAATTAGAACATGATAGAACTGGGACCACTTTCGGATTCAGTCCGCAACGGTTATAGAAAATGCACAGAAGTTAAGAAGCTCACAATATTTGAAACTAACAGGCAAATGTGGATAAATTCAGTTCTTCTTTACTTTACGAAATTCACAATCCGTTAAAAACGGGTACAGTACTAAAATCAAACCCCAGCCCTGTCCGACCAAGCATTCGATTGGATCACCAGGAGGTCAATCCATTAGCTGATTAGTCTGCACTGCAAATGAAGGCCAGTTTAAAAAGTGGAGGAACCTACAGTGAATATGAAAAGGTTCAACGGTCGTGACTCTGATTACGATGCAATATTTTACATCGAACGGATGAAAAATTTCAAACAGGACAGGAATACTTTGGAAACAGAGGGCAGCATTCACTTTGACTGCTGTGTCATAAGATAAGGATCCGATAACAATGGGTCGAGCAAAGCGCTCATAGTAGCTAAGTGGATGACTAGCAAATCAATCAACGGAATACATGAATTTACCTATTTGGACATAAATCACTGTTCGGCAGGCAGGTGTTAGCGCACAGAATAAGAGAGAAAGTCTAAAACAGGATGCTTGCAGTATTTAAAAGCAAAAGGCACGGTGACTCTAGCTCAAAGCAAACATCCATATTACGAATCCACCTAGTCGTTTAGAGCACGGTGATGCAGAGGGAAATTTTTGTACTCAACGGCGCAGGTTCGAACCGTACGGCGCCGTAAAGTTGTCTTATTAACTAATCATCTTGAGCAACGAATTCATCTAAGAGTAATTTAACGCAACCAGGTACGAATCAGGCAGCACATCTATGACCTGTGAACAACAGGAAATGTGTGGTGTGCTCTGATCACGAACGTGCAAAGCATACGGCCATGTCCTATAATGCGTCAGTTTCAAGGTTGCAGCTCGTCTTGTCCCTTTCAGAGCTGATAAAATCGCCAGAATCTAACTCCAACATAGATACGTGCTAATGTCAAATGTCAATGTTAATATTTATTTACAGACTAACAGCAATCATTCCTAACGGGCGCTTATTTTGAATGCTGTTTTCGACTGCATACACAGCAAATGATACTCTGTTAAACACCCTAAATATTAATAAATTGTTAATTACAATAAAAATTCTGGCAAATCAATCTTGTTGATTCTCAATCAGCGGCACACTGTTACAAATCTAGATGCACAAAACAAAAAGCAAACATTTTAAGCAAAACCTAGACTGATACCTCAACGTAAAACGATTCGAACGAATCTTCCTTTTCTATATCCATATCAAATAGCCTATCTGCCATAAAACATCTTTCAGCGCACTTTCTAAATTGATCGACTTATAGTATCGGTTACTTGAGTATTGTCAGGTTCATATCATTATACCATTTGTACCCATGTGAAACGAATTATGTTTGCGTATATAAGTATTGTATTCACAGAGCTCCCGATCCTGCATAGACGTTTCAGTTTTGGCAAAAGAAATATTAGTCTGGAATAGATTATGTCGTTACAATTGTCTTAAGTGATTCTTGGTCGTCCCTGGGATCTGAGATAGGTAGGGTGAGCAGAAAAACTTGTTTTGTCTTCCTCTCTGTGAGTATTTGCAAGACATGCCAAAACAATCGTAGCTGTGGATTCATAGTCTTGAGAAGCAGCAGCTGTACACCAAGGATCACTCTGATATTTGTACTTCTGATCATGTCAGGACAGATTAGCACAGAAGTTCGTCTCATTTCAGCCGACCTTACTCGGAATTGAAGTTTTCAGTCATTATTAACGATTTATAATCTTAAATGAGTATTGGGAATAAGATCAACTTTGTATTCATTGTCGCAGTTTCACAGTGGGTCAGAAGCCAGCTTCCAACTTGAACACCGGACGTGCTGACGTTGATTTCCGCAACGGGCAATTTTTGCCTTTGCCACAAATTTCCTGGAGCAACAAATATGCAATGCACTTTTTTCATATCACGATTGCTCTGAAGATAGAACGTGAACTCAGAACCGCGAAGTTTGTGTTCGATCCTCCGATCAGAGTCACTAGCATGTTTTCCTTCCGACGTTGCTACATGAGTACCACTCTCATAAAATAAAGCGAAAAGAAAACAGAAATATATAAATTAAGCTTTGCATAGCTGCTGTCGATTTCTCCTTTAGAAAACAATGCATTTCTCGCTGAGTATGTGAGAATGGAGATCAGAACTCCCATCATTAACTTCGTGAAAACAAGGCTGCTGAATTTGCCCCATCATGCGAATGTAAGAACAGCGGACATTCGACGGTCACAAACTTTGCATTACTGACTGAAAACACAGCTCTGCCTTCGTACAGTGGTTCGGTTTATTCACATAGAACGCCGCTGGCCATTCCAATTCTTTTCCTTAATTTTTCTTCAATAGTTATCATGACCCTGAGGTAGCGATCATCTCTGCCTGTTCCATCGCTTCTCCGTTTATCTGAAGAGAATAACGGGCAGCCTAGCGAGAAACATTTGGGCTGTTCGATTTAGACACGCTCATAAGCATGCAGACGACACCGCGCTAGGCTACTTATCAGGTACAAAAGCCGCCAACAGAACAAGGTCATCTGCAACCAGGAAACCTGTCGTCTCTACGTGTGCACTGAGACATTCGTCGCCTAGACTGCGGCTGATTATTCTATCTGTGTGCAACACAAACAGGAGAGGGGACAAAATGCAGCCTCGGCAGAGACCGGTGAGAACACTGGAAGATTTCGATTTAACGCCACTAACTCTGACGCAGCCCCTGCTATCACATCGTGATTGAATGACCGGTAGCAATCGACATCGATCCAATATGTTCGCAGGCATGCCCATAGATGTTTCGCGGGATCCGGTCATGGGTTTTCTGTACACTGTATGAGTGAACTCCCATTATTTTTCAACAGTCTGGGTAGAACGAATGTCTGATTAGAAGTGCTTCGAACGGGCAGGAAGATTAGATGTGCTCTTGTCTCTTGGAGTCATTTGTTCCGCGGCACTTCCTTTCTAGTACTTTTGTGTAGGCTTTTCCAGGGAAGCTCGATCACGTAATGCCCCGATTAATTGAAGCACTCCCTGTGGTCTCCGTTCTTGAACAGGAATACCGCAATTTTCATTCTCCAGTCTGCTAGTGTATTCTCCGAGCCATAGTAGTATGACAGGCACACGTATGTCAGCACATGCTTTGTTCGCCTATTGCTTTGAGCATTTTAAGGCTAACTTCATCAATTCTAGCAGCCTTTCCACTTTTCAAGCTTTTCACAGCTTGTGTGATTTCGCGTACAG